GCTGGGGTGATATGAGACACTTCATTTTCATATCATTGCTGATAGAAAGCAATTGATACAATAATACATTTTTGTAATATTTTTCTTTAGAATCAGAAATCAAATATATCATTACGAATTGTTTCGAGCTAACAGGCATTAGCATATTTCATTGAAATCAGAAGATGCCTAAAATAAATCGTTTTACGGATGTTGACGTTTCATCTAGACGACTTCCATCAGTTTATGGTTATCATAGTCAAAAACTTGTTTCACTCGAACAGGCATTAGAACCTATCGTACCTCAAATTGATCAACTCCCTCGATATATCAAAACAGCTAAGAAACATTGTCTTCATCCCTCGGAACATAAGCTGACACGTGATGAGTCAGCTTCTATTTATATTTACACAATGGAATGGGATGAGAGTAGTTTATATCGTGTATTGAATAAAGCATTACGAGATGAAAATCGACAAGGATTAAAAATATGGTATCCATATTTAAAATTATTCGACACCGCATTGAATAAACTACCAACAGTCAAGGAAGGTCTGTGGCGAGGTGTCCCTGTTGATATAGGGAAAAATTTTAAGAAAAATCAAGTTTTAACATGGTGGACCGTTAGTTCATGCTCATCATCGGTTGACGTGATTAAACAATTTCTGGGAAAACGTCAAACTTTCACCCTTTTTATGATCGAAGCTCTGAATGCGAAAAAAGTGTCCGGTTATACAGCTTATGAAGATGAAGATGAAGTTATCTTACCAATAGGTACACAGTTTCGTGTGAAAAGTAATCCATTAAAACAATCCAATGATTCTCATATCGTGCATCTGATTGAAATTAATGACGATCAAGATGTTACATCAGAAATGGATCAAATGCATATGAAGGCTAATTCTACAAGTACACCGTCGAGTGAGTCATTTTTATTTCTTCTTCAGAAATCAAAAGTATTCCTACGATATAAACAAAGAGATATTGATAAAAAATGAATACGAGACATTTCCTGGATTAAGATATTTTAACTAGCATTTGAGGAATAATAACAACACTTCTCTTATAAATCGTATCTTAAGAAAGAAATAAGACCAGTCATCAGTCACTGATGGCTGGCTTGGGTGTGCGTATGGGTGTAGTGGGTGTCCCTTCTTCTCTCGTCCACATCCATCCTACCACACCCAAACCCTCAAGATTTGAAATTTTCAAATAATATATTGCACATTGTTAACAATAACATATTGATTTTGAACAGTACAATTTCCATAATTAATTAAAGTTTATTTATGACGAATCAGTACTTTATATATGTATATAAATTATATCTAAATAATCAAATATGTAACTTAATTTTTACATATTCCTTATATTTTCTATTATATTTCATTAATGCAAGCTATGAATACTGATCCACAACCATATTATACTGCTCCAAGAGGTTCACATCCAGCACCGAATAGTTATTATCAACCAAATGGAATAGATACACGTAAATTTTTCTTGTAATTTACAATTTATTAAATATTTTTCTCTGAAATTCTTCTAGATTATACGCCAAGAAATCCAAATGAATTTGGGCAAACACATCGTATGCATCAACCCGTATGAATTAAATATCTTTTTGTTTTTGTTTCTATATAATTCATAATATTTAGTATTATCCACAAGGACCTAATGCTTATAATCAACCACCAGTTTATATGCAAAATTTTGTACCACCTCCACAATCAATGAGCCCATTTCCTCGTATTATTCGGCCACCGAATGACGTTTCCACTGGAGCACCAAATTTTGTGCCACCAGCGTCGTATCTATCACACGGAAATAATAATTTACAGCAACAATCAACTGCATATCCTACACAATACTATCGTCCAACCTATCATGTGCCACTAAATATTTCAGAACAAATATTAGCAGCACAATTGTCTAATCAACCACGACCATCGGTAAGAATGATAAAGAATTTTTTTTATTCAAAAGATCATTTGTTGTCTCTAGATTAATCAACAATATAAAACATCATTTTACTCTTCACAATCACAAGGTATATAATCATTCCTATGACCAAATAAGATTCTCTATTATGAATTCTTTTTTATTTAAAAAAACATAAAAGATCACCATTAAAAATTGTTGATCCAGTGTCACAAAAAGCTCTAGAATTGGAAACAGAAATTCCGTCAAATGATGATGATCGTTAAAAAGACATAGTTGTTGATTCAACTAATACTAAGTTAAAACTATTTGATGGTACAAATAAAACCATCTTGAAGGTGTATGTGGGATGTGGGTGACCATTCTTCTTTCATCCACATCCACCCTCACAGCCACACCGACATCCATACCCACACCCTCAAGATTTGATTGACTAGATAGTAAGTCTGTTCGTATTAACAGTGGCAAATATTGAATAACTTGATATGTTCGCGTTGAGAAGTTATTTTCACCGATCAGAAATGTATGTGTGATCTTATATTTATCACACACTCACACCCGAATTTAATAGAAAAAGAAATTCATTTTTTTCGACTGGCATATTGTGGACATGCTCTGGAACTAGTTGCGTTTTTAAACTACACTTGAAGAAATAATTCAATTTATAAACGAAATCTAAAATTTTCTATTTTGTCATACAGTTCTACTATTGAATTTTATTTTTCACATTTATTTATTTAGAATCAAAAATAACAACGAATGTATTCTCCAAATCATCGACACAAAGTAATCAACAACTTGAACAAATGATGGGTAAGAGAAAAGATGAGTCCAGTGTGGACTTTAACAAAAATTTGACAGATGATGACATGGATACCGTGACTTATCATCTTTTACGAAACAATACTGTGAGTACGAACGAATTTATTTTATACATGGGAAGGAAAAGAAAAGACGGATAACTAGTCTGTTTTACTCTACAAAATAGTGTTATTGAATCTATTACTAGAATCATTCATGATGAATTTTTCTGTGTTTACATTGCTATAGTATTTATTTTTACTTGATAAATTCATTCGAATATCTTCGTACTAAGATACAGAAACAGATAAACTGACTGAGATTCATTAAATATCATTAGAATCGAACTTTTCGATAATACAAGAAAAATCCATCCGTAGTCATTTCATGGACATAAAAAATCTGTCGATAAACGAAGTTATTGAACAAGTCTTAATTTGATAGAAATACAGTACTTCATAAATAGGGAAATTAGTTGATCGAAAGTCGTAGCAATGCTTGTGTTGCCTCTAATACAAAAACAATAAATTTGGTGTTCTAAAAATCTTTTAAACTTAGATGAAAAGTTCAGCTGATTACTAACGAGGGAACCACCCGAGGTGTCAAAAAGTTTTTGAGCTGAAATTCCGCCCATATGTAGAGGACATATAGACTAGAAAAAGCCTAAGATGATATG